GAAGTACAGAAGTAGAGGCAATTTGCCAGCAGTACTGGAAGAGACCAGGCACTTCTTGGGCTCACCCCAGCATTCCTAGTTTCCATAGGAAGCATGTGATTGGTTTTTATTTCTATGCTGGAATTTCATAATAATGCTGTTTTAGGGTTGGGGGACTTTCTGGATTTTCTGCATTCATAGGCCAGTATCCAATGAGCATCCACTCACGTGCTCAGTGCTTTGTACTGAGACACGGCGATGAGTGACATGCTCCTTAGTGCTGGCAAAGCTCGGAGCAGTGAGGGGGAAAGTTATGTAAACTGTGGATTGTAATGTAATGTGATAAGTGCGGGTGTGTGTCTGTTAGCAACACCAGTGTTTCTAGGCCTGGCCCACTTGTGGGTACAGATGAGGTCAAATGTACTGGCAGAACTTGAGTTTCACTGGCTTGTGTTTCTCCCTGCCAATGCAGAGCCTCAGCCAGGTCCCTGGGGCCTCATGCCTATCCCTGCGCTCCGGCCTCTATGCTGTTACTTGCCCCCAGATTCACATCTGGCCCTTGCCTTTCTGTTGCCTGTGCTGCCTGGGTGAGCCTAGGACTTTTGCCAAAGGCCTGCCTGGGAATGATCTCAGGCCAGCATGGTGCCTCAGTCTCCACTCACATCCCTGAGCTGAGCCACCTCTGTCCTGGGTACATTTCATCACCTGGCCATGAAGGCACATGCCTGTGCTCCTGTGCCACATATAATCCTGAGAAAATACCTTCTCTGGTTTTTGCTGGAAGCTCCTATTTCCACAGAACTTGGACGTACTTATAAATCAGTGTGGCCAGGTCCAGGGTCCAACATCTCTGACCCACACAATACACACGTTCTTGCTGCCATAGCCCCCATCAAGCAACTTCATGCATCTTTTCCTCTAACTTCTTTTCTGCCATGCACCACCTCCTTAAATGAATGGCTTCTGCAGGCCACTGGTCAGCTTATCAGATACACCCAGACTTGAAGCCTCTTAACTATGTCCTCTCCTTCCTGCTCTCATCATTTCATTTCAGGGCCTTATGGCCTCATGTGGATCTTTGCCATAGTTTCCTTATTGGCTTGGCCACCTCTGTTCACCTCCATGCTGTGCCCAAAATTGCTTCAATAAATGATGGGGACTAGTCTGAATTCTGCCTTATGCAGAATTCCCCTTGGTAGTTAGAGCAAGATCCTAGGATATTAAGATGACATAACTAGTGCTTGGCCCCTTAAATATCTTTACATATATGATTTTTACCTTACCCACCTCTAAACAGAATTTTTTGTTTTTTGTTTTAGAGATAGAGTCTTGCTCTGTTGTCCAGGCTAAAGTGCAGTGGTGTGATCATAGTTCACTGTAGCCTTGAACTTCTGCGCTTAAGTGATCCTTCTACCTCAGTCTTCCCAGTAGCTGGGATTGTAGGTGCTCATCACCACCCATGGGTATTTTTTCTTTTTTTTTTTTGTAGAGATGGGGTCTTGCTATGCTGTTCAGGCTGGTCTAGAACTCGTGGCCTCAAGGGCTCCTCTTGCCTTAGCCTCCCAAAATGCTGCGATTACAGGTATAAGCCATCACCCCACCTGGCTGTCCAAATGGAATTTGATTCCATTAATCATTCTAGTTATTCCCAGCACATCAATATCAAGGGGAAATTGCCATTTAGTCCCAACATTGTCATTTGTTCCACTTGAATATTTATCAAATTCGAAAGTATTTGGTAAGTGGTCCTTACCGAATTTCAAAAAGAAAGATTGGATGTAGGTCAACTATGACTTTATTCACCATGGGCTTTAAGGACTGTCTCTAAAGTGGATTCAGTGGAGAATGATATTCCCTGGTGTGTCAGTGATGGCAACCACTGGGCAAACAGCTATCAGCTGTGAGAAGTCAGAGTGCTAATCAGGCAGCAGCGTATGAACCACAGTGTGATAGGAGAAACCAAGACTTCCTCCAGGGGTTGGTGATTAGTATTGACCAGTGCAAAAGATCTGCCTTCATAAAAAAAAAAAAAAAATCTGCCTTCATAATAACGGACTTAAAAAAATGTTTTGCTAAGGCCAAGAAGAACCATAAACACTTCCTATGTGTTAAATTAACATTTAGGCAAAAGTTTACTACAATGCATACAATTCAGATTTTTCTTTTCATTATTTTCATTTTGGAGGAAAGAATGAACTTCTTGAAGCTTTTTGCTTAGTATACATTCCATCAGATTTTGGGACCCAGACACTGGGTGATAATAGAGTCCTGGATCCAGAAAAGACTTTGCTTGCAGAGCCAGAAACTCTTCCTCTTGACTTAGGCACTCCAGCCCAAGAGGATGCTGAAGAGACTGTCCAAAGAGAGGGAAGCCAAGGTATTTTTGGTGAAGAGGGCAGCCTCCTCTATCTCCTTTATCAAATAATGAAAATTTCATCATTTTGCCCTTTACGGTTGTGGTCCCCAGTATCAATCTGTGGCTTGTTAGGAATAGGCTGCACAGTAGGAGATGAATGGTGGGTGGGCGAGCGAGTGAAGCTTCATCTGTATTTACAGCCACTCCACATTCCTTGCATCACTGCCTGAGCTCTGTGTCCTGTTACATCAGTGGTGGCATTAGATTCTCATAGGAGCTTGAATCCTACTATAAACTGCCCATGAGAGGGATCTAGGTTGCATGTTCCTTATGAGAATCCCCCCATCTGGGGAAAAATTGTCTTCCATGAAATCAGTCCCTGGTGCCAGAAAGGTTGGGGACCACTGCTTTACTGTGGTTGATTGGAAGGGAAAGACTGTAGACACAGACCCCAGCAGGCTGGATTAGATGAGCAAACCTCTGCAATGGAAAAGGAAGGGTGGGCAGGATTTAGACAGCCAGAGGCCAGCACATGGCTGTGAAGTGGAGGTGGTTGTGAGAATGATGGTTCCTGAGGCGCAGGGGCTGGGGCCTTGCCATGGAAGAGGGACTGTGCTGGGAAATCATGGGGACCAAAGTTTTTAAGGGGCAGCAAGGCTTTATTATGGAGGACCCTGAGAGCCAGGAAAATAAGTTGAGACTTCATCCTGCAGGAAGCTGGAAGCCATGGAAACTTTTTCAGCAGGAAAATAACAATAACGAGGTTTGGAGAGGAAAAACACCTGGATTTGGGGTTGTGGTAAGTTAAGTTAGGAAGGGTAGAGCTAAGTAAATGTGGCTGCCTTGAGAAGGTCTCTGTGAAAAGATAATTTACAGAAAAAATAATGTTGAGACACGGAGACGGATTTGTAATGGGAAGGGAGAGAAAGTGCTAATGGTGCCACCATGGTTTGGCCAGTTAAGACCAGGTCTACCAAAGTATGGGAAGGAGCTGGTGTGCAGGAAGGGTTATGGTTTTATTTGTCTGTGTTAGTTTATGAAAATGCTGAAAACTCAAGTGTGACTCAATGGTGGGGCTCCTGCCCAACCCTCTAGAGATGCGATCCGCTTAGAGTTCATGGCCGAAAGAAATGATGAGTTTGGAAAAACAATCTCTTAGAGAGAGAGCGAGGGAAGGAGAGCAGGGGCCCACGCCTGGGCTCTGGACTAGGAAGTTGAAGAGGAACCTGCGAAGGAAACAAAATGTTCTCAGCCGTTCTTTTCTCATCCCCCTTCTGCCCGATGCATTGCTGCCTGCTGCTCCGAGAGCGGCAGCTGCTGTTAGCAGGTGGCTCCGACTCCAGCTCCGGCTCCAGCTTCGGCTTGCTGCTGAGAGAAGCGACACAGAGCTGAAAGCCAGTGGGCATATTGATGTGACCTACTATTATTTGAGCTTTCACTTTAGTGTCTAGTTTGGGGCACAATTTCAAACATGATGCCCTTTGTCAAACCGAGTATCCATGTTACCCGTTGCTTAAGCTGATGCTTTACAAGGGCCCTGTAATTGGAATTGCCAGATTTAGCAAATAAAAATGTTGAATGCCCAGTTAAATGTGATCAGAGAAATAATGGACTGTTTTTAGTATATCTCAAGTATTATATAGTACATACTTATATCAAAAAATATTTGTATTTGTCTGACATGTAAATTTAACCACACATCCTGTATTTTACCTGGCAATTCTCTTATTTTCTGATGAATCTTCTCATCTTAGCTTTAAGGGGACCAGGCTCTTGCCTTTTCTTGGCTGAGTGGCCCCCTTCCCCAAGACACGTGTCAGTCTCTTTTTTTCCTTCCTTCTCACAGGATCAGATGGTGTTATTCAGAATCAACTAGCAATCATGCTATATCCACCATGTGCCTGACAGGACACGAGACGTTTTAACACATACAACATCAGTGGTTTGCAATTGGTTTAGGGCATATAGCACTTGGAAATCAGGTGTTTTTGGTGGAATATCAGGAATTTGAAATAATTTTACCAGCAATCTAAACCATATGCTGGTCCGTATTTGCAGGCATGCAGTACAAAAATACACATATATACATATATCTATCCAAAGTAGAAACATCATGTTAAATGACTCCATTGATATTTTTCAAGGATAATTCATTGAGATATCTAATTGTGTTCTCCATTATCTTTTTACCTTCTTCAAGCCTTTGCATTATAGACCAAAGCAAGATTTGTTGGTACCCATAAGAAAATCCTGCCTGGTGCTTTGTTTTTAAGGCACTCTGAGTAGGATGGAACTGGGTGGTCCAGGAGAAGCAGGGGATGAAGGAAGATGTTTGCATTTGAGAAGGTGATTAGCTTGGAGTTGGTGAGTGAGGAGTGGGAGATTTCATAAAGCTAAGAGGAGGTCTGGCTTTAGAATTTCTAAGCATTGGAGGTCCTGGGCCCTGAGAGGGTCTAGAATGAGCTACAGTGGCATAAAAAATTATTTTGAGCTGGGGTATTTGAGTTCTTCAAGTGTCTTATCTGCTTAAAAGTGGAGCCTCCCCAAAACGTTTTTGATTGTCATAAATTCCCTCACTGGAAGCAATTCTCGTCTTCTCTTTCTGGAGATGAGAAATTGGTACCAAACTCCTAAATAGATATTGTCACAAAACTATCATACCTCCTGCTTATCTTATGATGGGCCCATTTATTTTTCCAAAAAGCCATTTGCTCCTCTGTTTGTAAGATACCCAATCTGGGATAATTGTGATGATGGGCACAAAACTTGGGGCCTCCCTATGAACAAATTCCCTACATGTAAAGAAGAAAAAATAATTATGAAATGTATGTGGTGGGTGTATGGCTGATCACTGTATGATTCTCTCAACTGTACTGAATGTTTGAAAAATTGCCTAATGAAATATTGCAAAATTAAAGAAAACACAAAAAACAAAAAGCCATTTGCTTTATCCCCTTCTAAGAAGTCGTTGGTTCTCCTGGAAGTGCTCCTCTGTCCCTCCTCCTCTCTTATTAGGTTAGCATATAAGTCCAAATTCTAACTGCCTCCTGAGTCACTCTTCTTTGTGAATTCCAGTGCATATGTACACAGTTAAATCTGTGTTATTTTCTGTTGTTAATCTGTCTTTTGCCAGTTTAGTTTGCACATCCCCAAAACAGAACCTAAGAGTATATAGAACAGTGGTTCTCAACCTTCTTAATGCCACAATGTATTTTCATTGTTAAAATACATTGGTTCATGACCCACAGGTTGAGAACCGCTGGTATAGAGCAAGATAGCCCCTCTTGTGCCAAGAACTTCTTGAGGATTGTGGCAGGATGCCTATGGAGCAGGGGTGGGGGTCCCATGGGCAGGTCTATGGACACAATGACTGCTAAGGCGGCTCTCTAAGTTCCTTCAGAGTAGAATGTCCAGATCTTGCGAGGCCACCAGTGTTCAACAACAGTGGGAGGGAAAGAAGGAGTTTGGGCTATGATGGCAGCTTCCTCCGCTCAACCTCCTGGTACCATCTTTCCTCTTCCAAGCTTCTCCACATCCTAGGGAATATGGCACTCACAATGCCATGGAGGTGGGAAATATGCCCCAGTAATGACTGAGACTGTATTTCCTACCAGCCAGGCAGTAGGGACCAGAAATAGAGTAAATTTAGTTCAGAAAAACAAACAAACAAAAATTCCTATTTTTTTCTTCTAACATTCCTTCCCAATTTTTCTTTTTATTCATTCTTCTAGTCTAAGAGGTCATAAAAATGGGATATTTCAGGAAAATCTCTTGGAGAAAAAGTTGAAATATTTATCCATTAACTCATCCCTGGGGTTATAGAAATATCACCATTTAAAAAATGTTTAGCAGCTGACTACCTCCATTAGTTCAGTGCTATAGGAATGCATTTGAAAAGCTGTTATGTTATCTCATATCATAAGGCTGTGTACAGGATGCTGACATTTAAAACCCAATGTCCAGCATAACAATGACGTTATTTATAGACCAAAATAAGGATCTAGGGCAAATGTGATGCATAGGGAGAAAGAAAAAGAAGGAAGGGGCAAGGCATAGAAATCTGAGGCTGGGTCAAGGAGGAAACCCCCCAGCAAAAATCGAGACACATTGAGCTTTTGTAGGGTTTGTGTATAGCAGGAAGTTGAGATGACTCACTGTATCCTGTTGCACTTGCCCTATGATTCCATTTATCCCCTCCAAGGTTTTTAAAGCCCTGATTTGTGTAGAGAAAAATCACACAGCTTGTCAGGGAATGACTGGGTTACAGAACGAAAAGGGTCTGGTTGCCTGTCAGCCAATATGCAGACGGGCATAGGGCCACCAAACTTTATTTGTCAGAAGGCCAGGATTCTGGAGAACAGTGAGAGTAGCCTCTCCGAGACTGTTCTGTTCTTCCATTCTCAAGATTAGTTTTATATATTTGAGTTCAAAGTGAAGCCGTGCTAACCCTTATCTTAAACAATAATTGGCAGAACCCATGATCCATAGTCAACAATAATCAGTATAATTCATGATCCAAAATAATGTTCCAACTCAAAAGTTAATCTCCTAAATCAATCTGCCTAAACTACTCAAGATAGGCATCTTTGGAATGGGAGCTAAATTTACAAAATAGTAAGAATGGGAGACAGGGGTGGAAGATCAGACTGGACTTGGGTTGACCAGACCCTCTGTATCACGTCTACCCTACACTGACAGACTCCTTCTTATTCTCATTATATGTGTTTTCAACTGTGGTCTGTCTTTTTTATATGTCTCTTTTTTTAAAAAACACAACATGGTCGTACTTCTCAACATCTAAATGTGACTGAGGTCTCTCCTGCTCAACCTTGCCTCAGAGGCCTGTACCCTCTGATAGGGAGGTGTCCAGGGTGAGCTTACTCCGGCTTCTTCAAGTCCCCCTGGGTGAACCTGGATGAAGAGGGGAGACCTCCAGCTCTTGTCATGCATCTTGTTGACAGGAACCTTCCTCCGATGAATATTCAAGAGCACTTTGAATTTCTGTGGCTTTTCTATTTACCAACCTTCTTAGGTCTTGAAGGGGGCCTAGGGCGGGGAGAGACAGATGACAGACAAACTCTCCACTGTGAAATAAGGTCAGCAAGAGAAACCCATGTTTGGTTTGGTTTTCTTTTCTTTTCTGCTCTTTCTGATTGTCACTTACTGGAGTTATTCCTTTCCTAGATGGGCCTCCACCTTCCTCTCACCACAAACTATTATGCTGTAACAATTAAAGTGTGATATCCTGGCTCACCCATTTCCGATTAATGGGATGACCTGTGTTAATCAGTAGAGCAAATGCAGGAATGGTAACAGACGTGTGGTCCTGTCTAAGAGGATTGAATTAAGTGATATGTGTTCAGGGTGGAAAGATGAGATCATTGAAAAATGAGTCTCGGGCAGTGCCTGTGGCTCAAAGGAGTAGGGCGCCGACCCGGTATGCCGGAGGTGGCGGGTTCACACCCAGCCCCGCCCAAATACTATAATAAAAAAAAAAAGAAAAGAAAAATGAGTCTCTTTTTTGTTTTTAAGTCTTTGGCTATTATCACGTACATTTAGAAAGCCAATTAAAAAAATCAATTTGAACCGAATTTTTTCCCCCTTAAATCCTCATGATTCTTTAGGTGACAGGATGCTATAGAGATAATACGTGAAATTAACTTTTAAAAGGAAAAGAGAAAGAAGGTATAGTCTGTCTGCTCGATATATGGAAACAGCAACAACCCAAGCCCCATTCTTCACCTGGTCTGGCAAATAGGTTTACACATTTTTTTCTCTTCTGTCCACCTGGAGGTTTGTTGGTGGTAGACCAAGTACTGGTCTGACAGCCGTTCCTGCGGTGCTATTGGTTGGAAACATAACAATTTCAAGTTCTAGTGAAATGCCTCAGGTGAATAAAGAAAGAATTTTGCCTGAGTTGAAGGGGCTTTCCTGGGAGGTAATGTCTTTTGTGGCTCAACACTTCATCACTTAGCCTGTAAATCTGGTTTCTTTTGAAAACAAACCCTAAGCCTGGAACTTTCCATGCTCAGTTTCAAGAAGGCCTCGAAATATATGGCTGAGTCAAAACAATACTCCGTATGAGCAGTGACTGCTGATCTTTCTCACCGGGAAGGCTGGGGATGTCAAGGATCAAATGACCTTCTATACAGTGGTGATGTTTCTCTGCATCTCAGCCTTTTCGTCAGAATGAATGAGGGGGAGAAAAGCTTTTGTGGAAAACATTGGTAGTGCTGTAATTGGTGTCCAGTCATCTCAGAAGTCTTTGTAACTTCCCACAGTCATGTCAGAGGGCTTGGGGATATAAATGCGTCTAATGATTCTTACTGGATTGTGCAAGTAAGCAAATCAGCTCTACTGATTTCCAAAGAGTTTAAATTAACATCCCTGAGTATAGTCTCTGCGTGTACTTTCCCTGTAGTCCCCACCTTCAGGAAGTGCCTTGAGGCTCGGCCCCCGTAGCTCAGTGGCTGGGGCGTTAGCCACATACACCTGACTGAAGGGTTCAAACCCAGCCCGGGCCTGTCAAACAGCAATGACAACTACAACAACAAAATAGCTGGGTGTTGTGGCAGATGCCTATAGCCCCAGCTACTTGGGAGGCTGAGGCGAGAGAATCGCTTACGCCCAAGAGTTTGAGGTTGCTGTGAGCTGTGACACCATGGCACTCTACTGAGGGCAACTTAGTAAGACTCTGTCTCAAAAAAGAAAAGAAAGTGCCTTGAATAGTTGGGATAATACAGAGCTGGGACTGCGAACCTCAGGAATGAATGCTTGAAAAATAAAAGCATGTGATTATTTCCTTTCATCATCCATTAGTTCCCACAGTGTTATGGGTCCTGCTGCACAGAAGTTCAACACCCTCTCTTCTCTTTTAGTTTTCTAATTTGTGTGCGAGGTAGCAGTCAGCCAAATGAAAGAGAGGCCCAGGGATTTCAAAGTCAAGATAGAGGGCTGGTGGGAAAAAAAAAAAGAAGAAGAGCTTCTTCCCTTCCAAGGCCAGTGGTTTTAACTGAGATTCCCTGGAGTTTTACATCAGGGGTTGCTTCAACCCTAAAAGAAGTTGCATCAGATACGGCAACTTTGCCTGCTTTGTTTGTATTCTCTGAAGTGAATGAAGTATTAATAAGTGGCTCCCTGGGGCAGTTTGTACAGCCCGTACTAGAAAACAAATTGATATGTAAAATTCTTGGACTGGTGTAAATGTGATACCGGTGGCTATCTACTCTCTTCACAATTTCAGAGGAAAAGAATAAATGTGTGGCTAACCCAATTCTCCATCTTTCATTCATCCATGAACTCTTCTGCTTTAAAATACCAACTAAAAACACAGGCAGATACTTCCCTAAACAGATTATCATCTTTCCAAGAGACACAAAGACATCAAGAGAATAGTGCTACTGAGTAGGGAAAAGAGAGAAAAGTTATTATTCAGGCCATTTTCTCTTGCTCCTAGTCAGCTGCTACAGGACACCAGAATATGCCACCCCAAAATATGGATGATTGTTGAGCTGAAGGTCGTCAAGAAGAAGCAGGTGCACGAAAGCTCTCTGCCCTCCATTTGTAGCACATAGATTTACAAAGAGAAAAGGCACCCGTCCACCCCTTTACCAGGCAGAAGGGGTTCACAGGTTAACCTCTGAAGACAGCCTTGGACACTGACTATACTGGAGATGGTACCAGACGGATCTACATGAACCAGCTTTACTAACTAACTTTTATCTACCATTCATTTGCCTTTCCCCAAGCTGCTGTCCCAAGAAACACAAAGTCCTTTTCCTTTGTCTTGTCACTGCTTTA